GATCTCCTAGGCTTTGATTAAATCAAAAGAATAACTCTAGTATTTAAGGGGCTTTATAGGGACAAATCCCCCATCATTCATCACCACTTTTTGATCCTTGACCGACTGGACTAACCCCTTTACCATTAAAGGTTTAAAGGGAGTAGTCATCTCTGCTACACACATGTCAATTCCCTTTCATCCATGACCATCACTTTCTTCTAGCTTTACTCCTTCAAACTCTACTTGGTGAATTTGAACTTTATTTTTGTAGAAAAGAGGCACCTTGGATGAGTGTTTCACTTGTTGTTCTTTAATCAAAAGCTTCTCATACTTTATGGCAATAATTACCAGCTCTTGCAACTTATTGAACTGTACATCATAAAACTTCTTTCTCAAAGGTAGCTTCAATGCCTTCTGAGCAATAGATATAAGTTGGGCATGGTTGATAGGAAATTGGCACCTTATCCTTATCCTCCTAAATCTCATCATGAAGTCCTCTGTGGACTCATGCTTATATTGCTTAACCTCAACTAGATTGTTGATAGTCATCCCGGGCTCTACCCTATAGAACTGTTCATGAAAAACCATCTTCATTTGCCCCCAGTTAGCAATAGAATTGGGGGGCAGTAGAGAATACCATTGAGACGCTAGACCAACCAATGAGTTCCTAAACAATCTTAACTTATAGTTAGGATTGTCTTCAAATGCCACATAGTAATTGGAAAACTTGAAGATGTGATCTCTATAGGACACACTACTATCTTCTCCACTAAAATTTGGAAATGTGAGCGTCTTGAAGTTGAGGGGAAAAGGATTTTGCTCATCAATATACTCGAGGTAGGGCTTTTGGTAAGTGATCCTGAACAGCGGGCGGGCCTAGGGTTGAGCATTCTGGACCATCATTCTTCTCAACTCAGCTAACTCATCTCTAAATTCCTGGTTGGTTGTATTATTATGTTGGGGGGGTGTAAGGAGGTTCCCACTTAGTGTTACTTTCGTTGTTCAAGAAAGTCTCATTCTTTGGTTCAGGTTGTCTCTATCTGGCCCCTCCTCCTTTATTAGCCAGTAGTGGTGGCCTATAAGGAACAGGCTTACCCGCAGTTGTGGACATAACTTTTCCACTAGATTCTCCCACTTGTTGGTTCATTTCGTACTTTTTTTTGTCTTGCCTGGCCTGCCCCCTACTATCTAGTAAGGATGGTAGTGGGTTGGGCAACTCTATCTCTAAGATTTCTTCTAATATTAGCTAGTTGGCCCAATCGCCTACTTTCTCCTTTCCTCTTTCCTTTCATTCCTCGAGTGAGGGAAATAAGGGAATAGCCGATTCCTTCTCAGGGCTTGCCTTTCTCATCATCTCTTTAGCATAACTGTGTTTTGGAGCAGAGTACTCCAGATCTAGTCTTCTCTGCAAACTTCCTGTTAAGGAACAAAGCCTGCTCATCTCTCATCTGGTATCCAGAGAGATATTTTCCATACTTTTCAAACCATGGTGGCTTGTAAGTCTTCATTGGTCACCTTTCTTTTTGACTTCTCAGATGAAGTTGGGTTTCCTAGAATAGTTGGTCCTTGTAGGGAGGGGAAATTTTCTAGATGATCTGTCATTTCTGACCTTAGTAGACACTAGGGTGGCCCGTATTCTGTATACCACCTGAAAGTAAACTCCTTCCTCTTTCTTCTTGGCATATAAGACTAATGAGATCCCACCAGATGTGCCAAAACTATGTTTGGGCAAAGATTTCTCTGGAGAAGGTCTATGGAGCTTAGCATAGCTCCCCAAGGGATTGGCACTTTGGATGTGTATGTATGGTAGTCGGGCTATTTCGTACCTTGTGTACTACAATAAGAGCTTGAAGTTAGTTCTGAAATGTGTCTTTGTGGGGCCTTAGGTGTAGGCCTTGAGGCTCGCAATTAAAACTAACTAAATGCTTAGGCGTGCCATTGCTATCTCAGTATAGAAAATGTAGAACAAGTCTGTTTTAAGTTGATTACTTGCACCCCAAGTTACTCAAACTTCTTGTTATCAAATGATTGTCACAGATGGGTTAAGTCTATATTAAGTTTTTTTTTTTTCTTGCCTTGTAAACAAGGACTTTTAGTTCATGATCTTGTATGTTTGAATGGAGGGAGTCCAGAGACTCTTAAGTCATTTGTTTGGTTCCAAACTGCTCTTAATGAAAACATACCCATTAAGTTAACCAGATCCAGATGCAAATGAGACTCTTAAAATAGAAAAACAGGTGGAAATGACTTGAATACATGTTGAAGATTGCATTAATCAATAGATCTACTAATTTAGAGAACAAACAAAGAGACTCGGGTAAGATTTCACCTTGTCTATCAAGGTTGAACTTTTTGCATCCACTTCTCTTTGTGTTTACAGGGGTTGTATGCTTAAAAGGGATGGATGGTAAACCAATTTACATTAGAGAATCAATGCTACAGCATTGGGAATGGTAGCAGAACTTTTATACTAGAGAAAAGATAACTTTTCTAAGGAAACTATTTGCTAAAAAGACTGAATCTGGATTGATTGCAACTTGAAAGGTACGAATTGGCTTGAGAGCAGAGTTTGTTTGCTTGTTTATTTGATTGGTTGAGTGTCCTTGTTTCTATTGTCTCTTTCTTCCTTTTATAGGCGATTTGGCCCGAGCATTAGGGCATTGCTCTTGCTTGAAAGCTCTTGGAGGGTAATGAGTCATTAGCTTTTTACTTGTAGTGCCACTGGAAACTACTTTTTGGCTAATAGTAGGTTGGTCTCCATCACCTGTCACTTCCATCATGGACACGTGGCTTATGTTTTGGCTGAGAAGGCTTCAGTTTGCTTCTAGGCTTGATGCTGAGCTTCGGGTAGATTCACCTTGTTTTGACACCCTTGAGCCTTCTTTCAGTCTAGCCCAATATTCAAATATTAATCCAAACATGTAGTAAAGAAAGTTGTATGCTGGTAGTAAAGAAAGTTTAAATGGGATGTGATGTGATCACATTTTTTGAAGTCGAAACCTGTTTTTTTTTTTTTTTTCTTTTTTTTCTTTTTTGTTTCTGTTTTTACTGGAGATACAAACTTATGTTGTTTCCCTAAGTTTCATTCTTCTATTCTTTGTTCCATTTGTTCCTTCTATAATGTCTTCCGATTAAACTATTTACCTCATATCGAACTTTTGCTTTTCTTGTGCAACCGATATAGGGGGAGGGGAATTTGAACACAGAATCTCGGGCGGAAAGACAATCAATCTTTAACTGTAAACTCAAAGTCAGTCGCTAGGCTTGTCCATATAATTTTATGAAAGAATGGCCAATGGAATAGATGTCTCATGGCTCGATTAGGGTAGGCTGTAAATTTCTAATATGGTTCAATGCATTTGCCGGGAGACATGGATTAGAAGTTAACGAAGAAATTTGAAACTGCCAAAACAAGAGTGGGGAAAAATAGAACTTTGGTAAGATTCGTATGGGATTTGAATAAAAGTGTTTTGTTTTTTTCCTTTAAAAAAGTTGTTGATCCTCATGATCCTCATGACTCTTAAATTGGAGGCAATAATTGATAGAATCTAGCACCTAGAGGAGTTAGGCCTTAGGTACAACGATTGTACTATCTCACTATGTTATACCTAAAACTTACTTTACTCGAACGATATTGCAATCTAATCGAGACTGCATGTAAGGGTACTTAAACTGTAAAGAAAGAGTATGAAGCTTTCAATTAGGCTACGCATTGATCTACACGTAATTTGGTTAGTAGACGTAGTTCGGTTAGAAGGAAAAAAAAAAAGAAGCTTTGGGTAGTTGTAGCACATTATCATGTAGTTGTTCTTTTAAAATTTTAATTGATATATTTTTTTTTAATCAATTGGGGAAGGGAAGTTCGGACATTGGATCTCTTCTAAACAAATAGGCAATTACCCAACAAAAATAGGCAATTACGTAACCAGAATAGGCAAGGGAAAATGTTTGAATCTAGGATACAGTAGTTTAAAGAGGAAAATCCAGTCCACCAAGTTAATACAACATGTAGACATGAAGGAAACTTATTCGTTTTAATCCTACCAATTTGGAAGGATTGGAAAGAATAAGTTTTTTGATGAGTAATTCATCTTCTATCAACATTGCACATTTTTTTTCTTTCTTCCTTTAACATGCATTGAATCTAATTAGTTATTTATTCCAATCAAATCCTAAACAACAAATGAATCCAAGGATTCTCAAGTTCATAGACTACCCAACAAGGAATAGGCAATTACCAACTCATAATATTTTATCCCTCTCGTTAACATCATTCAACCAGGGATAATGTTGAATTGGGGTCCACTTGTAGTTTTCCAAGCCGAACAAGCAGATAAAAATTTGACGAAGCATCTCCTGTCACTAGTAAAAAAAACACTTTGCGCGACGTAGGTACTTTCGTCGCGCAAAGTAAAAAATCGTTGCCTAAGGGTTTGCGCGACGCAACCTTCGTCGCGCGTTAATCGTCGCGCAAAGTCTGAGACGCTAGGGTTTGCGCGACGGCCACGGGGCGTGCGTCGCGCAAAGTGGGTTTGCGCGACGGCCACGGAATGCGTCGCGCAAAGTGGGTTTGCGCGACCAACGGTGTGCGTCACGCAAACCCACTTTGCGCAACTACGGACTGCGTCGCGCAAACCCACTTTGCGCAACTACGGACTGCGTCGCGCAAACCCACTTTGCACTACCCACTTTGTGCGTCACGCAAACCCACTTTGCGTGACTAATGGTGTGCGTCGCGCAAACCCACTTTGCACTACCCACTTTGTGCGTCACGCAAACCCTCTTTGCGTGACTAACGGAGTGCGTCGCGCAAACCCACTTTGCGTGACTAACGGTGTGCGTCGCGCAAAACCACTTTGCGCGACGTACTGAGTCACGCAAAGTGGGTTTGCGCGATGGAGCCATGCGTCGTGCAAAGTGATTGGTCGTGCAAAGTGGGGAGTAGTTTTGGTCAAACTTTTTTTTTTTTTTTTTTAATTTTTGATAAATATTGTAATTAAATTCGAAAGAATAATTAATTAACCAAGCAAAAGTATTTAATTATAAAATATATGAAAATGTACATACAAGATCCAAACAAAAAAGAAAAAAACTAAAAGTGAACTAGGTTTAATACATCAAGCTACTAGGTATCAGCAGGGCGAGGTGGCCGAAAGCTTGTGTCTCACCATGGCTCAGTCTTTGCTTTGTTAGTAACTTAACCGTCAAATCTTTCAACTGCAATGATCAGTTAGAACACAATCAGAGAAAAAGCACATATGGAAAAGCATACTACTTTCAAAATGCTCATGGAATCCACAGTCGAAACTTTTCACTTTGCTTATATCTGCAAGATACCAAAAGGATATTAACGATGAAGGGATGATAACAAATCTTATTAAAGAATGCACTGCATTCATTACCAAAGTGTTAACCTGGTGAAAGTATAAAATATTATGGATTTACACAGCCAAATTCTACACTTGTTAATTCCGAAATTTTTCGTTTTTTGGCGTATTGAAACAAAAGTAAAAGGCGTGATCTAATCAATTTGAAAAATCTCAAGAATTCACAAATTATTACAAAACCAAATTCATTGTCAAGATTAAGAGCAACCGAATAACACAATAACAAAACGGAAAAAAAAAAAAAAAAATTTATCTACCTTTGTCAAACCTCTAGTCAATTCAAGTCGATTGACTCCACCCCCATACTAAGTGGTGCCCCAGAAATTCTTGCAACTTTAGTAGCCTTGATCATGCATGTTTATAAATACATAAAAGAAGATAATTGCAATTTATTAGACTAAAGAATTTGGGATCAATAAACAGCTACTGAAGATAATTTTTCGTGTTGCTACATTGAGAGGGGCACCCAAACCTGATATTAAAAAACAAAATATTTAGTATAATGTAAACAATTCAATATGTAGTATCAGTTTAGGATCATAATTCAAGGCTCTAAAACCCGCAAAATCACAGGAAAAAAATATCACATCTCATTGTAAAAAAGAAAGAACCGACTTAATCACAGTATAAAAGACATAAATACAAATACAACTTTAACACATGATGATATTTGATATACATAAATTTTTAAAAGGTGATACAAATACCAGAACATATTTATATATATGTACAAACAGTTATCAACATGATTAACAAAAATTTGTAAATTCTAAAGTTTACACTACTTGTCAATCACTTACACTTTTTTTTTTCTTTCCAATTTGAGCAAAAGCACTGTAGCTTATATAAATTGTTGTGCCAATAATCTGCAATAGATAACATAGTATAAATAAGTTATACAAAACAATAGCATTGTAATAATCCATTTTTTTTTTATTTAAAGCAATAATTATCAATACGATTAATAAAAATTTATAAATTGTGAACTTAACACTACTTAGTAAGTTGGCTAACCTTTTTTTTTTCAATTTCAGCAAAAGCACTTTGTAGCTTATATAAATTGCTTTGATAATGATCTACAATGGAAAATGCAGTCACAAATGAGATACACAAAACAGAAATAGTATTATAATGATCTTTCTTTTTTTCGTTGAAAGCATTGCATAATTGGGAAAAGAAATGAAAACTTAAATTAAACTATCAAGAACCAAATGATCTAACACATTTTAGTTCTTCTTAAACTATAACAATACAGTATATCTACCACAAATAATCTGTAAAAAGAACTATTAAAAACTCTTGACCCCAATAAGCATCTTTTACCTTACAAAAATTCTATGGATAAGTGACTTCTTTATACAACATTGCTATTCCGAATACCTAATCTCACACTTAGCTTGCAATTAAATTTTCCAAAGAGTAGGATGATGATGGTAATATACTTTCTTATAAAACAAACCATATACAATCTATTTTTCGTCATATTCTAGAAATGGGTAAATTTTTAATTGCCTTCTCAAACAGTATATCTATATTTGGGCAATTTGGGTAATTGAATCGCCTAGAAAATAAATTCACTGAACAGGATTTCATAAAATAAAATAATAATAATAATAATTGAAAAAAAAAAAAAAAAGGGTGAAACCGAATCGTAAAAAATGAATCATCTCAATCAATTTCCCAACAAAATAAAAGGTTAGGCTAGGAGGAACCCACATTTTCCTCACCCTCTCCGCCTATTTCGAAAACATTTTTCTTCTTTCCAACTTCCCCATCTCTGTCTCCCCTCTCTTTCCCTTTCAACTCCTTTTTTTCTCTGTTCATATCTTCTTTCCCATCTCTGAAAAACCCACCCTAGTTCAATTGAATAAATCGCAGCAAACTCAAATAAAATTTTGAATATTTCAGACCGAAAACGGAAACCAAACGACCACATAAAAATACGAAAATTGGAGATTTCCCAGATCACGAAAATTGGAGATTGCCCAGATGACGAAATTATGAAAGAACAGTAACCCAGAAGTTAAAATCGGAAAAAGCCGAAAACTTTGTAAGATTTGACCGGGACAGAGTAATCAGAGTTCATACCTTTTTCAAGAGAGAAACAAATAGTAGTCACAGCTACTGCAACTGCTCTCTCTAAGTCTGGAGTTTCTGGGAAATTTAGAAAAAATCGTTAGGGTTTCATCCAAATTAGAAAAAATCCTAAACAATCATTATAAAACACACCTTAGCTATATAAGATTGATTCTGCAGAGATCTGAAGATAGGCCGCGCCCAAAGGGATGGAAATCGACCAAAAACCCAGCCACAACCCAGAAATCCCAAACGGAAAAAGGGGGAAACAGCAGGAATTCTTTACCCCAATTAGAGATTTCGAGGAGGGTCTGAGATTTGAGGGATGAGAGGTGAGCGTCCAAACTTGGACAAAGTGAGGGATGAAAGATGAGCATCCAAACTTAGAAGGGAAATAAAATTAGAAATTTGAAAAAAAAAAAAAGCGCCTTTTTTTTACTATTGCACCGCCAAAATTATCACAACTGGCGCGACGTAGGTATACAATTTGACGTCACGCAAAGTGGTTTTGCGCGACGATCACATTAAGGCGTCGCGCAAAGTTTTTTTTTTTTTTTTTAATTATTATAAAAATTACTGAAAATGTGACTTTCTTCCTTTGAAATTCAAATTTTTTTTTACATAAACCCCACTATAATATATTTTTCTAACAAATGTGGTTTGATGTTATACGTATACCAGATGGAATTCATTGATAAATGTGGTTGAATGTGGAATTCATTGATAAATGTGGAATTTTGTTTTTTTTACATTATATCGCACTTTTGTGTTAATAACTCGTTCATTGATAAATGTGGTTGGATGTTATACGTATACAAGATGGAATTCATATCATGCATTGCAATTATGAGAGGCATGAGTCGTGTGAGTTACATGGGGTTGTATCGTGATGGATTGGAATGAAAATTGTGATAACGATGGCGCGTGAACGAATGTGTCATGGGTGGTAATTCATATAACAAGACATACTCGAGGCCAAGGCACGGTACGGGACGTGCGAGGCTTGTGTGTTTTGGTGTGTGGATTAACAAATGAATACAATAAATGAATTCGATCTTCAATTTAAAATATTTACACAAGTGGATACCACAAAATCTTATGTTATACTTAATGAAAGTATAAATAAACTCTAAGTGTTAGTCAATTTATCGTTTAACGAATTCTCCAAAACTAATTTCAACGATCCAAACCGTCAAAATTGTTTGTATATGCTTGGAGATCACATCAGCAAAAAATCACAAAAAAAAAACATTCAGAGATCAAGTAACGGGACAAAGCTTTTCAACGGTTATAAACGAAAAATCACGATTTAACGGTTATTTTAACTCCGATTTTGATGATTTTTTATAACTACACTCCTTGACCCTATATGAATACAATGAATGAATTCGATCTTCAATTTAAAATATTTACACAAGTGGATACCACAAAATCTTATGTTATACTTAATAAAAGTATAAATAAACTCTAAGTGTTAGTCAATCTATCGTTTAACGAATTCTCCAAAACTAATTTCAACGATCCAAACCGTCAAAATTGTTTGTATATGCTTGGAGATCACATCAGCAAAAAATCACAAAAAAAAAACATTCAGAGATCAAGTAACGGGACAAAGCTTTTCAACGGTTATAAACGAAAAATCACGATTTAACGGTTATTTTAACTCCGATTTTGACGATTTTTTATAACTACACTCCTTGACCCTATATGAATACAATGAATGAATTCGATCTTCAATTTAAAATATTTACACAAGTGGATACCACAAAATCTTATGTTATACTTAATGAAAGTATAAAATAAACTCTAAGTGTTAGTCAATCTATCGTTTTACGAATTCTCCAAAACTAATTTCAACGATCCAAACCGTCAAAATTGTTTGTATGTGCTTGGAGATCACATCAGCAAAAAATCACAAAAAAAAAACATTCAGAGATCAAGTAACGGGACAAAGCTTTTCAACGGTTATAAACGAAAAATCACGATTTAACGGTTATTTTAACTCCGATTTTGATGATTTTTTATAACTACACTCCTTGACCCTATATGAATACAATGAATGAATTCGATCTTCAATTTAAAATATTTACACAAGTGGATACCACAAAATCTTATGTTATACTTAATAAAAGTATAAATAAACTCTAAGTGTTAGTCAATCTATCGTTTAACGAATTCTCCAAAACTAATTTCAACGATCCAAACCGTCAAAATTGTTTGTATATGCTTGGAGATCACATCAGCAAAAAGTCACAAAAAAAAAACATTCAGAGATCAAGTAACGGGACAAAGCTTTTCAACGGTTATAAACGAAAAATCACGATTTAACGGTTATTTTAACTCCGATTTTGACGATTTTTTATAACTACACTCCTTGACCCTATATGAATACAATGAATGAATTCGATCTTCAATTTAAAATATTTACACAAGTGGATACCACAAAATCTTATGTTATACTTAATGAAAGTATAAAATAAACTCTAAGTGTTAGTCAATCTATCGTTTTACGAATTCTCCAAAACTAATTTCAACGATCCAAACCGTCAAAATTGTTTGTATGTGCTTGGAGATCACATCAGCAAAAAATCACAAAAAAAAAACATTCAGAGATCAAGTAACGGGACAAAGCTTTTCAACGGTTATAAACGAAAAATCACGATTTAACGGTTATTTTAACTCCGATTTTGATGATTTTTTATAACTACACTCCTTGACCCTATATGAATACAATGAATGAATTCGATCTTCAATTTAAAATATTTACACAAGTGGATACCACAAAATCTTATGTTATACTTAATAAAAGTATAAAATAAACTCTAAGTGTTAGTCAATCTATCGTTTTACGAATTCTCCAAAACTAATTTCAACAATCCAAACCGTCAAAATTTTTTGTATATGCTTGGAGATCACATCAGCAAAAAATCACAAAAAAAAAACATTCAGAGATCAAGTAACGGGACAAAGCTTTTCAACGGTTATAAACGAAAAATCACGATTTAACGGTTATTTTAACTCCAATTTTGATGATTTTTTATAACTACACTCCTTGACCCTATATGAATACAATGAATGAATTCGATCTTCAATTTAAAATATTTACACAAGTGGATACCACAAAATCTTATGTTATACTTAATGAAAGTATAAAATAAACTCTAAGTGTTAGTCAATCTATCGTTTTACGAATTCTCCAAAACTAATTTCAACGATCCAAACCGTCAAAATTGTTTGTATATGCTTGGAGATCACATCAGCAAAAAATCACAAAAAAAAAACATTCAGAGATCAAGTAACGGGACAAAGCTTTTCAACGGTTATAAACGAAAAATCACGATTTAACGGTTATTTTAACTCCGATTTTGATGATTTTTTATAACTACACTCCTTGACCCTATATGAATACAATGAATGAATTCGATCTTCAATTTAAAATATTTACACAAGTGGATACCACAAAATCTTATGTTATACTTAATGAAAGTATAAAATAAACTCTAAGTGTTAGTCAATCTATCGTTTTACGAATTCTCCAAAACTAATTTCAACGATCCAAACCGTCAAAATTGTTTGTATATGCTTGGAGATCACATCAGCAAAAAATCACAAAAAAAAAACATTCAGAGATCAAGTAACGGGACAAAGCTTTTCAACGGTTATAAACGAAAAATCACGATTTAACGGTTATTTTAACTCCGATTTTGATGATTTTTTATAACTACACTCCTTGACCCTATATGAATACAATGAATGAATTCGATCTTCAATTTAAAATATTTACACAAGTGGATACCACAAAATCTTATGTTATACTTAATGAAAGTATAAAATAAACTCTAAGTGTTAGTCAATCTATCGTTTTACGAATTCTCCAAAACTAATTTCAACGATCCAAACCGTCAAAATTGTTTGTATATGCTTGGAGATCACATCAGCAAAAAATCACAAAAAAAAAAACATTCATAGAGCAAGTAACGGGACAAAGCTTTTCAACGGTTATAAACGAAAAATCACGATTTAACGGTTATTTTAACTCCGATTTTGATGATTTTTTATAACTACACTCCTTGACCCTATATGAATACAAATTTGACTCACTTTGATACACTCCTTGCACATGTGTACGTATGTCGCGCAAAGTCAACTTTGCGCGACGCATGTGTACGTACGTCGCGCAAAACAACTTTGCGCGACGCATGTGCACGTACGTCGCGCAAAGTCAACTTTGCGCGACGCATGTGCATGTACGTCGCGCAAAACAACTTTGCGCGACGCATGTGCACATGCGTCGTGCAAAGTTGGCAAAAAAGCGGTAAAACATTCTATGTTTGGCGCCAAGATATTGCGCGACGTACAAAACGTCGCGCAAACGGAGTTTGCGCGACGGTACTTTGCGCGACGAAGGCTGGCGTCATGCAAAGTGTTTTGCGTGACGCACAAGTTCCTGGGTCGCGCAAAGAGGTTTTGCGCGACGCTAGACTTTCGTCGCGCAAAGTACCGTCGCGCAAAGGCTGTTTGCGCAACGCCTTGTCTTTTAGGTCGCGCAAACATACTTTGCGCGACGGAATTTTGTGCGTCGCGCAAGATTCCGTCGCGCAAACATGTTTTTCTACTAGGGTGTGCACACAGGTTGTGCGCATGAGTTATTAATGATCCGTATTGATAGTATATCACAACAACATATTGACAGTAAATTGACAATTAATATTTATTTATGTATTATTAATAAAGTGAGGATATGTTATCGATACACTGTCAACATAGGTCATGCACAATCCATACGCAAGCGAGGAAAAATGTGGCCGACCTATAATTTGGGCATTAAGTAATGTGATAGACACCATACGTAAAGCACACAAACAAAACGCAGGATTGCTCCTGCAAATTGGGGTACGGAGCCTAGCTTTAAACAATGGCGACCCTTGCTACTTTCACATCACGACAGCTTCAACCAACTAGGGAATATGTGTTGGGCACTCGGCACTGGCTTTTGGGTTATTTGTAACCATGGTATAATACGGATGAACGATGAGGTTATGCTTTATGGTTATGGTAATAATTATAAATTCATGTGTATGAGCGGATTTGTTATATCACATATCTATATTCTAGTATAGTACGATAGTGTAATACCATTCCAATATTGTACTATACAATAGTTTCTCATTGCTTAGACTTATTAGAAGCATAAGCATGCACGTATATACCATGCGTTGCTAACATAGTATTTGATTTAACACTAGTAATTGTACAATAGAATTCTCTACTTAGGGAGTTACTGATTTTCATACTCTTTTTTTTTCTTTACATATACTCCTTTCTGT